CCCAAACTTTCATACTACTGGAACACAGACTTCTATTCTTTGGAATCAGCGCTTCCCAGGCAGCCATCCTCAAACTTTGTGCTTAAATAAACTCTCTTTAAACTAGAATCTGACCCTTTCGATTATTTGGGGGTTAATTGTGGTACATCCATTCAATGGACTATTGCTCAGCCATAAAAAGGGGTGACGCGCTGATACATGCTACAGCTTGGATGAACCGCAAAACATCATGTTAAGTGAAAGAAGCCAGCCACAAAATGCCACGTGTTGTATGATTCCATTTGTGTGAAACAGCCTGAATAGGTAAATCCATAGAGAAAGCAGATAGTGCTTGCTAGGGGGTGGGCAGGGAGGGGCATGGGGTTTCCTTTTGGGGTAAGGAAAATATTTTGGAATTAGATAGTGGTGACGGTGGCAACGCATTGTGAATGTGCTAAATGTCACTGTGCATTTTAAAATGGTTAATTTTATGTTATGTGAATTTCACTGTAATAATAAAAAAAGACGGAATTCCTCAGCAAGGGCGGACCCCTCACACCAGGCGTGGCTCCTCGGCTCCGGGCCGACAGCCGAGGCACAGCCCTGCAGTCCAAGGTGGGGGCGACAGGTCCCCACTGCACACGGAGGAAGACAAGTCCCAGAGACAGGTGAAGAGAGGCAAGGAGGAGCTAGAGTCCACCCTTCCAGGTCCTTCTGCACAGGTTTGTTTCTCTGTACTTGTCAGTCCCTCTCTGCATCCTTCCTTTTCTGTCTATCCGACTATCGTTTTTCTCCCTGGCTGGCGTGGGAGCTCCAGGAGGGCATCCCCAGCCCTGGAACATGCCTGGTGTGGATCTAGCAGCCTCTCTAAATGGCTGTTGACCAAATGAACGAACAGGGAGGTGTAGTGACTTGCTCGGGGTAACCCAGCAGGCAGCTGCAGAGCGGGGAACTAAACCTAGGTCGTCTGAATTCTGGGCCAGGCTCTGCCACTTCTAGTCCCCCTGGCGCCAGCCTTAGGTCCCACGGGTAGAATTCAGAGATGCTTCTTACAGGGAACCCACTGGCTGGAGGTGGAGAAGGGCTGGGAAGTTGGCAGTTAGGGGCCGCAGAGGGTTATGCTTGCTGCCTCTCCAAGAAGCTGCGACAATTGAGTGAGCCCTAGCAATTCTGAAGTGAGAGGAAGTCTGTCTTGGTGCCCTTCCATCTTCTCAGGGCCCACACTTCCCCCTATGGGACTGTGTCACCCTTGCCTCCCTCAGCCAACGTGGCATCCCCCTGGCCTGCTCTGCCTGACAACCCTCAGGACCAGGATCTTCTCAGCCCTCACCCCTTAAGATCTCATCTGTCCCATGTCCCCCCACCTCGGGTCGTTGCCAAGGTACTGGCCCACTAACAGCAACTATTTATTGAGCACCTTTTGTGTGCCAGGAGCCATGCCACCTGTTTTGCCAACTTTATGTGATTGAGTCTTACAATAACCTGCAAGGAGAGGTATTGTTATAACCATTTTACAGATGAGGAAAATGAGGCCCGAGGTGGCTGAACCAGCTGCATGGTTCAGTAAGTAATGAGCTGGACGTGAGCCCAGGACCCTATGTGTCTTTGCCGAAGCCGTGTCCCTTCCACCTTCATATCACCTCTGGTGAATCTGTCTGGCCTGAGCTGTGATGAGCGCGTTTCCATGGGGACCCTCGATGCTACGAGGGGCACTTCAGACCTAAGGGCGAGCTGGGCAGGAGGGCGTGATCTGCACTTGAAGTGCCTCCTAAACCACATTCTTTTTTCCATAGCATGGGCCTTGTTTCCCTAACTCGAAATTCTAAAAAGTTTGGGGAGAAAATGGCCTGTAGTAGACATATTTCAGAGAGCCTTCTCGGAAAACTTGCCCGGCCCCAGGCCCTGTTTTTGACATACGACAAGTTCCCATCTGTCCCACCCACAGCCCAGCCACAGGTTATTGGCTCAGGGGTGGACAGCTGACTTAGAGGCAGCTCAGCCATCGGTTGGTGATCTGGGCTACAGGCCTGTGGTCCCATGAGAGCCAGAGTGAGCAGCTTTCACCGTAACTTTTCCCAGGCTAGGTGAGGGCTGGCAGTCCCTTGTGTCCTGCTTTCGGATGTGCCTGAGATTTACTGCTACAGCCTTTCAACACCTCCAACCCTTATACTTAGGCAGTTTAAGCAGGTTTTCTGTGCCTTAAAAGGAAACAGCATTGACCAATTTAATAGGAACCAAAATTCCAAAAACAATGCACAAAGGTTTTTGTTGTATTTGAGAAGAGAGGAGAAATATTGCATAATTTTAGACTTTGTTTGGAAAATATGTAAAGTATTTTTAAAAACTGAGGTTAGCCATTAAAAGAAGAGAGTAAACAAAGAGTGCAATGCGCACCGCCTGAAGAATGGACATATTTGAAATTCGAACTTGGGGGGGGGCAAGGGCAACATACATAACCTAAGCATCTGTACCCCCATAATATGCTGAAATAAAAAAAAAAAGAAGAGAGTAAAAATATAGTCTATTAAGCTTCATAGCAAGCAGAGAAAAAAAGAGCTATGTAGAAAATATAAAAACTTATCCATCTAACTGAAATCACAAAAGGGAAAAAGAAAAGCAAAGCCAACATATAAATAAGATATTAGAAATAAGTCCAAATATATCAGTAATCACAAATAACTGTAAATAGATTATATCTATCTATGAAAAGATAGATTAAGCTCCAATGACATGTTATTTATAAGAGACACACCTAAAACAAAATCTAACAGAAAGCCCGAAAATAATGGGATGGGAAAAAAGAGATATACTCTGCTATAGACTGAATATTTCTGTCCCCCTGAGATTCCTACATTGAAGTCCTAGTCCCCAGTGTGATGGTATTAGGAGGCGGGGCTGCTGGGAGGCTATTAGGCCCCACCCCCTCCCATTAGCCCTCACGAAAGGGATTACCGCCCTTATGAAAGAGTTCTCAGTGAGCTCTCTCGTCCCTTTTGCCATGAAGTGGTGTAGACACACTTTCACTGTGATGACAGTAAGGAGTCAGTGGTCTATGAGCCAGGAAGAGGGCCCTTGCCAGATAGCGAGTCTGAGGCACCTTGATCTTGGACTTCCCGGCCTCCAGAACTGTGAGTAATACATTTCTGTTGTTTATAAGCTACCCAGTCTATGGTCTTTGTCACAGCAGCCCAAATGGACTAAGACACTGCAAATATAATAAGCCAAAGGAAAACTGGGGGTAGAAGTATTAATATCATAAGAAGTAGGGTTTAATCTAAAAGGCATTAATTGTAGTTAAAGAAAGATAGCACATTTTAAATGTAAGGTTTTTTGTTTTTTGTTTTCCTTTCTCTCTTTCCCTTTATGCTCATCTGTCCCTGGCTAGAAACTTTGCAGTTGCCTCTACGTGGCTTATAACAGCATCTCGGGCTCCTGCTCCCTGGGGGAAGAGGACATGTTTGAGGTGCACACCGATCCCCTGCTTGCTCACTGGAAGCCCGCCTCCCACTCCCCGTGTATCCCGGTGTTGTCTCTGTGCTCACATTTCATCAGCCACTGCTATGTGTTTGCAGGAGAAGGAGTGAGATGAGATGCAACAAGTTATCCCCTCTGCTCCGTCATGTTCATCACCTTCCTAAACAAAATGTTCTCAAATGACTTTAGGCTGTTCCTTCCTTCCCTGATTGCTCTCTCATTTCATCCCTCCCCGAAACCCACTAGCAAATCTGCTTCCCCAGTGCTGCCACTAAGAACATGCAAAAGAATCTTCCGTAAGCTCTGAGGTCAAGTCTCAGAGACTCAAGTAAGGCAGCATTGTTAGATGAGTGGATGGTTGGTCATTTGGATGTAGGAGCCTTTGTGTGACTGCCTGAAAACAGACTGAATCTGAATGGACTTTTCTTCAAAGAAGACATGCAAAGGACCAACAAGCACAAACCTCAACATCCTTGGCTGTCAGGGAAATGCAAATCAAAACTACAGTGAGATACCACTTCACACCCCCGCGATGATTATAATCAAAAAGACAAACAATAACAAGTGTTGCCTAGCATCAGACAAATTGGAACCCTCATGCGTTGCTGGTAGGAATGTAAAATAGTACAGCCATTTTGGAATAAAAATCTGGCAGTTTCTTGAAAGGCTAAACAGAGGAATTACCGTATCACCTGCCAATTCCACTGCTAGGCATATACATAAAAGAAGTGGAAACCTATGTCCATACAAAGAGTTGTACGTGAGTGTTCATAGCATTATTCGTAAAGGCTCGAAAGTGGAAACAACCCAAATGCCCATCAACTGATGAAGGGATAAATTAGATGTGGTACGTCCATACCATGGTGTGAACCTTGAAAACATTTTGCTGAGTGAAAGAAGCCAGTCGTAGAAGACCACATATTATATGATTCTATTCATATGAAATGTCTAGACTAGGCAAGCCTATAGAGACAGAAAGTGGATTAGTGGTTGCCTAGGGCTGGGGAGTGCTGGTGGGGACTGGGGAGTGACTGCTAGTGGGTGTGGGGTTTCTCGCTGGGGTGGTGACAACGTTCTAAAATAGACTATAATGATGATATTGAGCAACTCTGTGAATTATACTAAAAACCATTGAATTGCACACTTTAAATTGATGGATTGGGTGGTATGTGAATTAACGCATTTCAATAAATTTACATTAAGTAATAACATTTAAAAATAAAATGGGGCACACACATACACAACTAAACAAATTGCATCACTTTATAACCACATCTAAGATATCAAAAGAGGGAGAAGAGGGTTCTACGTCCTATTGCAATATCAAGGGAAACTGAAGCACTTGGAAATGCCTATCTACTCTGAATTCCTCCCAGGAAGGGCCCAGGATTTACCTCCCACCCCAGGTGAAGCCCCCGCCATGGGCAGAAAGGGAGCATCCTGGGAGCTGCTGGCGATGTGTGTGTCTGAGCAGCAGGGGCTGGTCTGCACCAGGCTCAGCCCTTGGTCTCCAGGAAGCCTGGACAGGAGATGAACCCAGCGCTCACCTGTACGATCCAGACAGGACGAATCTCCAGTCTGAGATGATGAACTTCTCCCGGATTCGGCCTGCGAATTTCCTGCCTGATTTGGCGCAGTACACCTCTCCCTCCACACTCCGGATGGAAATGTTCTGTCAGAAGGAAAGTCAAAGTGTCACTAATTATGTGTTTATAGATGTACATTTGGGCTATAGACTGAATGTTTGTGTCCCCCAATTCTATGTTGAAACCTAATCCCCAGTGTGATGGTGCAAGGAGGTGGGGCCTTTGGGATGTGCTCGGGTCATGATGGTGGTGCCCTCGCGAATGGGGTTCGTGCCCTTATAAAGGAGGCCCAAGAGAGCTGTCTCACTTCTTCTCCATGTGAGGACACAGGGAGAAGATGACCATTTATGAAACAAGAAATGGGCCCCCTCCAGACACTGAATCTGCCAGTGCCTTGTTCTTGGACCCCCCAGCCTCCAGAACTGTGAGGAATAAATTTCTATTGTTTATAAGCCATTCAGTCTATGGCATTCTGTCATAGCTGCTCAAATGGGCTAAGACAATTTGCACAGAAAAAAGTCTGGAAGAATGTTCACCAAGATATAAACATGTGTTATCTCTGGTTGGTGGGATTATGGGCCATTTAAAAAATTTTTGTTTTTAGAGACAGGGTCTTGCTCTGTTACCCAGGCTGGAGTTCAGTGGTGCTATCATAGTTCACTGCAGCCTCGAACTCCTGGGCTCAAGCAATCCTTCTGCCTCAGCCTCCCAACTAGCTGGGGCTATAGGCACATGCCACTGCACTTGGCTCTCATTTTAATTTTCTCTTGGCTGAATTGTCTAAATTTTCTTCGTTTTCCTGGCATCAGCTGGCAATGAATAAAAAGGGAAGAGGGTAGAATTCAAACAGGCAGCAAATAAAAGAAAGGCAGGGGCCGGATGCCCGTGGTGCCCCCAGTCTAGGCCTCCACTGACTACAAGAGGTCTGGCAGTTACTTGGAGGCAAGCCCAGAGCCCAGCTCTGCCTCGTAAGTGGCTTTAGTGACATGAGTCCCTGGCCCCAACCTGGTCAGAGGGAAGGCCCAGTGTAGCCGGAGCAGGGGGGTTGGCTTTGTGGAAGTCCCAATGGACCCTAGATTGTCCTGTGAAATTGAGTGTGCACAACCCAAATCATGGCTCTATTTGTCCCCTGCCTCCCACGCAGCACTCGTGGAGGGCTGGAGAAATGAAAGGGCAGGCGAAGTGTGAGAGTTTCTCTCAGGGTTAAGGCTGAGGGAGGTGGAAACTGCCAGGGTTCCACAGACGACTGCCTGTGGCTGGTCAGGCTCTGGGAAGGGCACCCGCAGTGCTACCTCCAGCGGCTATCCCTGGCCTCTCCACAGCTCTGTGAGATCTCGGGAGGAGGGGACACATCGCATTGTCCTGTGGTGAGCACAGGACTGTCAGGTGTGACTGCACGGGCCATGAAAGCAAGGCCGGTGCTGACTCTCTTGACCTGCTTCAATGGCCTTGTGCCAAGGAGGTATAATCCAAGTAACGTCAAGCAGACCCGGTAGGCAGAGGTCCTGAGGCCTGTGGCACCAAAACGGAGCCCTGAACTCAGCTGTATGGGTCAGTGCAGAGGGGAAGGGGGAAGGAGGAGGCCCAGCCCCCGTGCACCAAGAAGTCAGTGGGTTATGAGCAGAAGTGATGAAAACCTCTTCCAGGTCTGACCCTAGAAACACCTGCAGAATCCTCCAGCCCTCTCTTTCCCTGTAAGGCTAGCTTGGAGGCCACGTATTCCTTACGGTGTAGCTACGGGATGGAGGAGGGCCGTCTGACTTAGATAGAACTTTGAGCAAGAAACAAGCCTTTATTGTGTTAAGCTACTGAGACGGGGGCTGGGGGTGGCATTTGTTACCACAGCATAGCCTGTCCCACCTGGACTCACACAAGAACCCTTAGAGCTCTCAGTGGGTCGCCTACCTTGAGATGGCTGTCAGAGATCTGGACTTTATCACACATCTCCTGGAAGAGCTTCACACCCGCCTGGTCCAGGAGCACACAGACGAACACCCCGCGCTTGTTGGCTGCCTCTAGAAGGTCACAGAAGATCTCCACATCTGTGAACACATCCATCAGGATGACCAGGACCTGGGCCAGGGCAGAGGGCTCAGTTACCAGAAAAGTCAGGGCCAGGTGCTAACTGGTTTCAGCCAAACTTCCTAAGTCCCAGTGAGTCTGGGAGGGTTGCTCCTGTTGCTGCTGGGCCAGAGGGGAGAGGGCAGGGGTGGGGGAGGGCCTGACTGGGCAGGGTTCAAGGAAGGGAAGGGAGGCCCCTGTCCGTGTTCCGACCCCACCTCTGCAGCCCCACCACATATCCTTTGGCTCCTCTGCCCATTGATGGAGCGAGGAATGCGGAGGAGGAAGGGAGAAAGGCTAGAAAGAGGAGAGAAAACCAAGCACAGGCGTCTGCGCAGGTTGAGAAGAAAGGAATAAATTTAAGGTCATGGGTTCTCAGCAGCTCGGAGCTAGAAGGCACGCTATGGCCACTGCTTTTCAGCTGTTTTTAAGCCATGGACTCCTTGCCTCCCCCACGGAGACACCACACATGAACTAGACTAGAGCCAGCTGCCCCAGTGGGCTGGGGAAAGGGGTCCACTCCCCCAGCAGCTACGACATCGTCTGTGAGAGCAGAAACTGGGGAGGGGACTCCTAGCCATCCAGCAAAGAGGAGAAACATCTGTGTTCCTGCTGGCCAAGCATGCGTTCCTCCCCTTTTGCCAACAGTATGAGAAGCCCCTCTCCTCCACAGCCCATGTGGTTTGGATGGGTCTACTGCTGTCCCCTGATTGGATGTGGGGACAGCACATGACCAAATGAGAGCATGGCATCCCCAGTGATTGGTCCAGGGGTGGTCACATGATCTAAGTTATTCTAATGAGAGTCAGCCCAGGACTTTTGCCGGGACTCTTGGGAAAAGGAGACTTTTCTTTTTTTTTTTTTTTTTTTTGAGACAAAGTCTCACTCTATTGCCTGGGCTAGAGTGAGGAGACATTCTTTCCACGAAGTTGCTCGGCTGGCAGTAAGCTGTGGCGGCTGGCAACCATCTTGCTATCTC